TTATTGATTAATATGAATAATCACTAAACACCGTGCATGTAGTTGACCATTAAAGCGCTCGCATTAAGATGGCGTTAGATGTGCGTGTGCTCTGCTGTCTGAGGCTAAGCCCGGACCGCACGCACAACAACACACACAAACACACACACAATACCTGTCCGAGGCTAAGCGCAGCGCGCACACACACAACAGTACGTGCCCTTTCGCGCTTTTAAAAATATGATGCGCATCCCATGCTGCAAAAGTTACATCACAGCACATCTTTCAGTCACTTTCACGTGGAACTGGAAAGGAGGCGGTATATGATGGAATAATCGTTTATCTCGATTAATGGTTTTTCATAATCGTTATGAGCCGTAATCGAAATCGAAACCGGTTTTTCGATTAATTGCACAGCCCTAATATACAGCCTTTATTAATCATAGTTCAACATTTACTAATGCATTAGTAAAATCCAGAGTGCGTGTTAACATTAGTCAGTGCGCTGTGAGCTAACAACGAAGGACCTTTTTTTTTCTTAAATGTTAACCAGGATGAACAAATGCTGTAATAACTGTAATGTTTATGATAGTAAATGCGTGAACTAATGGAACCTCACTCTAAAGTGTAGCTCAGGAGAGTTGAGCTGTAGAAATTCTAATGGTGCGGATGTAAGAAGAGCAGGAGTGATTGGATGCGCTGAGCTGATTTGCGGTGAACATGTTTCTCCAGTTTCTGGTTAGTCCAGATCTTTGGTTCTGATCAGTGGAGAAGCTCGGGTCGGGTCATGAAGGGGGCTTGACCTCTTCTGTCCTCATAATGCACCTCCACCTCTCACTCCCTCCCAGCTCTGCTCCGCTTCATGGCAGCTTTCTGCGCTTACTCTGCGATGCAAGGTTTCTTTCAGAAATGTTCACAATGCAGTTTGTTGAATAAGGCACGTCTTGCATGGAGGGTTTTTAGAGTGATCTGTTTGTGTGAAAGACAATCAATATGGAAGGTAAATCCTGCCAATTTTGAATAAATTAAATTAAAATGAAAATCAGATCAACAATTTCATTATAAAACACAGTTCGCAAAATATCTGCCACAATTTCAAATGAAATGAAATTATTTAATTTTCATTTTCACTGTGACACACAATGTCCCTGTCAAATCGATAACTAAATTAGTTCTGTCAATTTAAAATGTACTTGTCGGGGTCGGGTTGAATTCTGTCTGGTTCAGGCCCTTTTATATGGCATGATCACCTCTAATATTCTCATATTCACCCTGTCACCAAAGCCATGTCACCCTGCAGCCCAAGACCGGTTACTCACTGAAGCTAAGCAGGGCTGAGCCTGGTCAGTACCTGGATGGGAGACCACTAGGGAACACTATGTTGCTGTTCGAAGTGGTGTTAGTGAGGTCAGCAGGGGGCGCTCAACCTGTGGTCTGTGCGAGTCATAATGCCCCAGTAAAAGTGAAGGGGACACTACACTGTCAGTGGGCGCCGTCTTTCGGATGAGACGTTAAACCGAGGTCCTGACTCTCTGTGGTCATTAAAAAATCCCCTGGCACTTCTCGTGAAAGAGCAGGGGTGTAACCCCGGTGTCCTGGCCAAAGTCCCTCTATCGGCCCTTACGATCATGGCCTCCCAATCATCCCCTTCCACTGAATTGGCTCTATCACTGTCTCTCCACTCCACCAATAGCTGGTGTGTGGTAAGCGCACTGGTGCCGTTGTCCTGTGGCTGCCGTCGCATCATCCAAGTGGATGCTGCACACTGGTGGTGGTGTAGAGAGACCCCCCTCATGATTGTGAAGCGCTTTGGGTGTATTGCCATACACAATAAATGCGCTATATAAATACACATTACATTACATTACATATTTATCTTTTGTACATGGATTGAACTACTCAATTTTGTCCAATTTTGCAAAGCTCCATCAAGGACATTGCAATAAAGAGACAATCTTTTAGTTGATTTTAGTTTTATTTTTAATTTATCCCTTATTTTGTTTGCATTTTCTGTTTTCCTGCTTTCATAAAGATGTCCTATATTTAATATATCTAATATTTTGTATAAACTTTCTCTTGTTTCTGATGAAATAACAGGAGCTGTTCTTCCCTCAGGTCACATGTTACTCTTTCTGGCTTTTGTTTGGGTTTTGCTTTGGTTACCAACAGCAACAGTCTGTTTGTTTGGTCACAATAATCAATAGTGGATGAGAATAGAGCAGCTGTCAGAGGTGTATGAGTATGTGTGTTACCCACAATCCTCTTGTCCGCTCTCTTTTGTCCGTCTGTTTGTTTTCACCACGAGTGCAGCATACAGTGTGTTTTCATCCGCCTCCTTTTGCACACTTTGCATATCTTCAGTGTCACTCCTCGAAGCCCCGCCCATGGTGAAATTTCATTGGTCCAAATTCAAACCCTGCTCGGCTGCTTTACAATAACATCTACATTTATTCTCTGATTTTCTGTGCTTGTCAGTCATCTTTTACCCTTACCTGCCTGGTTTGGAAATGAGAAGATCAAATAAAAAAAAACACCAGTGCATAAACATACAGCTAATAATGAAACATAATATGAGTGATTTATTCATGCTGCATGCTGGGAATCAATACAGAAACCGGCAGTCACAGTGTGTACACATTTAACTTTGTTTTAATGGCATAAAGAGCCCCTATTATGCATTATAAAGGTTATATTTAGGTTTTGGGGGTCTCCAACAACAACTGGCTCTGGGTGGCCACAGTCCTCCACTGTACCTCAAAGGAGCGCTACCCTGTACTAAAATGGCGGCTCTATTGACGCATTCCTTCCAATAGACAACAACAGGATAGGCGACATTTAATGTAAATATATATGCTATAATACTACTATGACTACTATAATAAAAAAACTAAATAAATAGCTAAATACTCTTGACACATGAAAGTGTAAAGCCTGCAGCTCACAACAAATGTGGAAAATTATTGCGTATCATATTTAACAAACTTATGAATTGAATTGAATGTTGCTCACACGCATAATTGAATATTAATCAGATGATGTCATTACGCTGCTGTGCCGTCAGCAAATCACTGCATTGCTGATCATGGTTTCGGGGATCTGTCCTTCACTTCAATTCAATTCAGCTTTATTTGTATAGCGCTTTTACAATGTAGATTGTGTCAAAGCAGCTTCACATAAATGGTCATAGTAACTGGAACAGTGTAGTTCAGTTTTAGTGTTTAAGTTCAGTTCAGTTCAGTTTAGCTCAGTTCAGTGTGATTTCATCATTACTGAGAGTTCAAACACTGAAGAGCAAATTCATCGATGCGTAGCTCTACCAATCCTGAACTATGCGAGGCAGTGGCGACAGCGGAGAGGGAAAAAAAAACTTCACCTGATGGGAGTGAAGAAAAAAAACCTTGAGAGAACCAGACTCAGTTGGGCACAACCATTTTAATTTCTCCGCTGACCAAAAGTCTTGTGCAGAGCTGCAGTCACCACGGTGGAGGCTGGAAGATGGCCTCAGCGAAGACTCGTCTGTCCCTGGAGCGCCGCTGGAATTAGACACATGTTCTCCACTCCCCACGACCATCAGCGCAGCTGAGATCTCAGATCAGTTCATCCAGACATTTTAATCGGATCCACAAACTTGTTTGAAGAACCAAACTGGCCTGAGATCACTTGATCCAGGATCAGCCGAATCATCTGAGATCATTTAAGGGAGGTACCAAGAACGGACCCCAGTTGTCATTTTACAATGTGTTTATTTATTAAAGAAAAGTTATCAGATCGTAACATATTGAAATGGTTTTTAACATTTACCCGAATCCAATCTGTTAAACGAAGAGAAACTGACTTTTTAAGAGCTCTCCTAACTGTTTTGCCTTTAGCTTCAGCTACAGTATAGCACACAGCATGTGACTTAGTTTTTATCTCCACAGTTATTCTAACATGTGTAAACACACTTGTGAATGCTGCTCTGGATATGGAGTGTGTTTTATATGCAGTGATGGTCAGATCATAAAGGTTGCTGACCTCTAGCTCAGACACCAATGCAGACTAAATCATTTTGGTTTTGTGAGGTCTTGCGCAACAACAACAGCAGCGGATTATGGGCCATTCGTCCTCTGTGACTTGTGTGTGTGTGTGTGTGTGTGTGTGTGTGTGTGTGTGTGTGTGTGTGTGTGTGTGTGCCAGATGTTTTGCTCTCAGAGCTCCTAATACTCATTCTGCTTTAATCTGAGAGCAGCAGAAACACACAGTCAGTCAACAGAGGCAGATCACAAATACATCTTCTCAGAATCTCTCTCTCTCTCTCTCTCTCTCTCTCTCTCTCTCTCTAAAGAGATAATCATCATTAATGCAAATGCCTCCAATCCGTCTCCTGCTGTGTGCAGAATGAGATTGGATATGAAAATGATCAACCATTCAGACTTTATTTAGCAGTCAAAGCAGTAGTTGTGATGTTTAATTGTTTAGTTTATGTTTTAAATTCATTGCATAGTTTTTATTTTTAATTTTTTGGGGCTCCGTTTCAAAACCTAGTGAGCTACCCATGTAGGGTGCATTTTAAGACATCGCAGGTGAAAGTCTGTTCTAAAAGGTGAATTGTTTTAAGACAGCTTTATTATTATTTATATGTATTTATTGGTTCATTTTATTTACTAAAATAATCGCGCTCTCTCTCTCTTTAAACTTTCTGCTCATTAATATTACTCACTGTTGAATTCTTATCTTTCCATTTGTCTTGCTTGTTTGTTTAATCAACTGCTAAACCAACTTAAGGCATCTGTATGTTGCTGTTTTCTGATGATTTGAAGTGCTTCTTTTATCCTCGTTAGCAGTGCTGCACAATTAATCGTTAAAAGATCGCGATCTCGATTCGACCCCCTTGACGATCTTAATCCAGATTCACAGATATGCCTGAGGCGTTTAGCATTTTTGGTCAACTAATGGTACTTTCACTTGAGAATGTTTTTTTTTCAGTGCTCTTTCCACCACTGGAAATATCTAACATCCTTCTCCCTGTGTTCCTCCAACAGGCGTGTCATAAACCCCATCGGAAGGCATCCATAAAGCCGGCTGGCTGATTTCGGTGCGCTGAGGAGGACGTCTGCCCATGCACACGCACAGCACCATGGGAAGCTCCCCGGAGGTGCTGTCCTGGACGTCCTGTCCCAGCCTGCTGGTGGGCAAACTGAAGGAGGAGCTCAAACTCACAGTCGTCGGAGACTCGATAAAGAAACCCAACAATAACATCTCTCCTCAAGCGCTCCTGCCTCCTGCTCCTCCTCCTCCTCCACCCCCACCACAGATCATCACAGATCTCGCTCCTCCAACCACGCTGCCCATGCCTCTCCATCACTTACAGCTGCCGGTTCGAGATGAGGAGCCAGGCGGCACCAGTCCTCCATGCACAGCACTTAGCGAGGACTCAACACGCGAACAAGGACACTTCGAAAACAGCGTTTTACAGCTACAGGAGCAGGAGGATGCTGAAACACCTGGATCTTGCGGTCAGGGTGGATGCGGAAGTGGCGGAGAGGAGAAAAACGAGGAGAACGGCTGTCCCATGGAGCATAGTGGAGACGACACACACCATCATCCACATGATGACATCAAACTGCACTTTCACAGAGCCGGGACGGGCAGCGGAGGGTTTCTTGAGGGACTATTTGGGTGCTTGAGGCCTGTGTGGAATATCATTGGGAAGACATATTCAACCGAGTATAAGCTTCAACAGCAAGGTTAGTGGAGTCTGGGAAGTGCCAGATTAAGTATAAATTACTAAATGAAGTCGGGTTATCTTTATTAATAGGGGTGTCACCATTTCGATTTTTAATCGAAATCGATCGAAATTTATGCTCAATTTCGATTATCGAATCAAAAAAAAAGAATCGTCGATGCTGCCACGCCCCCATGTCACGTCAGCTTGTCTTGCCAAGCGGGAAAAAAACAGGCTTGTTAACGTGCTTGTTGAACTGCAGATATAGGAGACCCGTCGACAAAGCTTAAACCCTCTCCTCTTTCAATGAAGTCGCCGGTGTGTAAGCATTTTGGATTTCCAGTGAGTTATGTTGACAACGTTCGTGTTGTCGACAAAAAAAACACAAGCTCTGCTATGTACGTATTAGGGTTCGTCCGATAGACAACACCGACGCCATTATTTTTTACCGACGCCATTATAACGACACAGATCACTGCCTATTCACGAATCCCGCAGAAAAAGTGATTGACAGGTGGTAATTATGTGTGTATCTTGCCTTTATTCATTTACTGTATGATTTGTTTATGGGTAAAACAAAGACCATGCAGGTCAGGTAGTTTAAACGGTAGGCTACAAATAATTAATTGGTCATTAATTAATTAACTATTCATAATCGAAAATCGAATCGAATTGGGATTTGGAAGATCGTGACACCCTTATTTATTAATATTGCACTTAATATTGAGCTGATTCTTCATGTCGATCAACTGTTTTGTTTATAAGCTGACGTACAAGTGATCTGCTGACGAATCGTGGCTTTAAAACAATCCAGTGTCCCTGTATTTGTGTTTACACTCAATAAACAGCACAGTCATTTCTGTTGAGCCCGCAAACACAATGGCAAACCAGCGCTGTTTAAGAACGCACTCAACAGCGCTCAAATGTTCATGGGAAATTGACGTTTTAAATATTTTAGTATCGATTAGTATTAAATTGCAGTATCGTGACAACCCTTGTGTGTGTATATAATATTATATATAATGATAATAGAGAAAAAAACATAACAGATAGAAAGATCATCAACATCAAGTGCATTAAAACTTATATTTATATTTTTGGTTAATCATAACATAATAAATGAAACAAAAAAAGTGAAACAATTTAACTTAAAGCTTTTATTTCTAATTTTATTTTAATTTTTAAGCAAATTTTAATAGCTTAATAATTTCATTAGCGATTCATTTGCCCTGTTTTTCTGTAATACATACTAAACATTTAGTACCCAATTAGTACAACTAATATACACAAAATATTTACTTAAATAGCCCTATCATTTAAAATAAAATAAATATAGTAAATTACAGATGCTCTAATGTTTAATTATATATATTTTTGATTAGATTAGATTAGATTAGATTAGATTAGGTTCAACTTTATTGTCTTTACACATGTACAAGTACAAGGCAGCGAAATGCAGTTTCGGTCTAACTAGGAGAGCAGTCGCAGCATTGCACTCCTTTATTATAGTCAAATTTAGATGCATCTTTAAAGGGGACCTATTTTGCAGTGCCAGTCTGTAGGGTTGAATGGGCCCTAGGGAAGATTAAAAAAAATTAGGCTCACTTTGTGTAAAAACAGCGAGAAGAAAGCACATTTTAATATTAATAATTTTATTACAGTAATATTTTTACATTTTAATATTGTTAATTTATTATTTAAGTGTATAAATTTTTATTAACTGTAATATATTTAACCTATAATACATATGTGAAAATATTTTTTGCAAGTTTGCAAGCCAGAAAACACCTATTTAAAAAAAAAGTATATTCATTTGATGCCAGAATTATTACAATTTTTATTTTTTTTTCTTGTTTTAAATATTTCCCAAATGATGTTCAACAGAGCAAGTTAAACTTCACAGTATGTCTGATAGTATTTTTTTTCTGGAGAAAGTCTTATATGTTTTATTTCGGCCAGAATTAAAGCAGTTTTTATTTTTTAAAAGCCATTTTAAGGTCAAAATTATTAGCCCCTTTAAGCTATATATTTTTCAATAGTCTACAGAACAAACCATCATTATACAATAACTAATTACCCATAACCTGCCTAGTTAACCTGATTAACCTAGTTAATTTAAGCTGTATAGAAGTGTCTTGAAAAAAATATCTAGTAAAATATTAGTTACTGACATCATGGCAAAGATAAAACAAATCAGGTATTAGAAATGATATATTAAAACTATTATGTTTAGAAATGTGTTGAAAAAATCTGCTCCACGACACAGGAAAAAAAATGGGGAAAAAATATTCAGGGGGCAAATAATTCTGACTTCAACTGTAAGTATGACAAATAAAAATAAAACTGGAATCAAATGCATTTTTTTGTAAATGAATAACATACAAATATATGCATAAATAATTAAAAATGTAGGAGACATTTTAGCTGGTTTTACACAGAGATTTACACAAATGGATCCACAATGCAGTTCGGCAACACTTGACGTCACCCATTCAAAGTGAATAGGAAGCGTTGACGGCCCGTGTGAATGGGGTGTTACACAAACAAAACTTTGCATTACATGTTAAACAGTGGGGGAAATTCGATTTTGACAAAATGAGGGGGAAACCTGCTTAGCAAGGTGAATAAGTGGGATAGATAATTAATTGATTATTTAATGAAACATGCTTAATTTAAATCAATTCACCTTTATTTCTATATTGCTTTGACAATGTATGTGGCCTATTCGTTTCTCACAAATCACACACGTGTTTCTGTGATCATGGGCATCGTTGCATTTAATAAAACAAGTCCTAAAACTACACTAATAATGTATTATGCATAGCAAAACATACGTTTACTTTGACTGTGGCAGTGACAGCAGTGATAACATACTTACTTAAGACTTTAAAGGGCACCTATGGTAAAAAAAAAAAATCGACTTTTCAAGCTCTTTGGACAGAAATGTGTGTAGATAAAGTGTTTAGACCGTCATATTGGGGTGATTAAAAACACACCCAGTTCTTTTATTTTTATTTTTTTCAATTTAACAACATAAAAACGATTCAAACCTTTCAATCTTTAAAGGAAAAATATGGGTTTAACCAAAGTGACTTTTATAGATACCTTCATATAAGACATTATATTAAATGTAATATTAAACCAGAAACATTAAAAGCTGCAGAGACAGGAATAATAAAAGTGTTTTTATCAGTGAGCAAGGCCCAATCATGTACTAAGATCATTTCGAAATTATATAAGGGATTTCGCGAATCAGTATCGGAAAATACATTATATGTCAGAGATTAAATGGAAAATGGAGGGAAATCTCAATATCTCAGATGAAGATTGGGGAAATATTTGTTCAACCCAATGGAAATGTACCAGCTCTGCCATGTGGAGAGAATTCTGTTGGAAGAATGTCTTAAGGTTTTTTAGCACACCATCACAGAAAATACATAGAGGAAAGGGTACTAGCTGCTGGAGAATGTGTGGGGAAAAAATAGCTAATCATTATCATGTTTTTTGGGATTGTCAGAAATTAACCCCATATTGGAAAGAGATTAAAATACATCTGGATGCCATTTTTGAAGTAGAGATTGCCTTTACCTGTGAATCTTTATATTTAGGTAATATAAATTTGGATGGATGGATTAATAAAGACAAGAAACTGCTATTTATTCTTTTGGCAGCCAGTAAAAAAGTAATCACAAAAAAATGGTTAAAATTAGAGTCACCTACAGTTGAAGAATGGATTGATACAGTGCACACTATATATGTCATGGAAAAACTATCGTTTTCATTAAGAACACAAACAGAATACTTTTTTCTAATTTGGAGTAAATGGACTGAGTATATTTCACCAATATGCCCGAATTTTTCTTGAATTGTAACCTAAATGTAACATTGTATAAATAAGTATCTTTTCTTCTTTAAAGGAAAACTTTTAAAGGACTTGTAGCTCCCCATGTTTTACTGTTCATAGTTATTCTTGTTGTTAAAGAGAAGAAAATACAAAGCATATACAAGATCTGTAAGTCTCTTTCTGTATGAGAGAATATGTAAGATATATATGTATTTTCTTCTGAAAACTCAAAATAAAAAATGAAAAAAAATAAATAAATAACAACACAAAAACGGTGGACCAATTGGAACGGTTTTCAGAGCGACCGCAACTTGACGTAGGAGTGCGGTTCCCCCCGCGCACCAATATTGATTTTCATTTCATGTCCGCCATTTTCAGCGCGAGTCAAAGGGATATCACTAAAGGAACACCCTAGCTCTAGTATTAGATGTAAGGCTCATTGGGCTCAACACAAGATCAATATTCTCCACATTATCGCTCTCATCGGAATTATTGGTTGTTCCTTTAGGTAGGTTTGCAAATGTGTACTTTTCATTGCGTCTACCTTAAACTTCAGCTGTTTGCATTTCTCACATTCACAGAAGCTCCCTATGATCTTAACTAGGTGCAGCTGGAAAAGTGCAAGCGCGTTGCCTCATGTGCGCGTCTCTCCATTGGAAATAAAATAACAAACTTGCCTGCAAGTCGCACACCAAAAGCTAATGCAGCGTCATGCATTTTGGAATTCTGGGCGTGGGTTTCTGTCGGGGTGCACGCGGCGGCACTTTAAGTCGGCAGCTGGGCGCCGTGGACTAGAGATCTGCGCGGGACTAAATTTTGAATCCCGCTCCCGCCCGCACCCGCCAGGTTTTAGCCCGAACCCGACCGCTCCCGCTTATATTAAGAATTTGTTGTCCCGCTGCCCGACCCGCCCTGTTTTATACCCGCCGTGCCCGATCCCACTAAAGAGCGGGGGAGAACAAAACCGAAACACCCAGCTATACAGTCAAGACAGTCAAGCTGTCTGTATAAACACACACACACACACACACACACACAAAGCTCTCTCTCTCTCTCTCATACGCGCGCGCGCACTAACGTGAATTATACAGAGCGATTCTATTAATGAAATGCGGAGGTTATTTTTGTCTCACTGTCGTTATGAATTGTATCGCGTTTAATGGGGTTTGTGCAGAGCTGTGTAGCTCCGCCCTCTTTTGAAAAGAGCACAATCTCATTTGAATTTAAAGTGACAGTCACCAAAACACCACTATTAGGATCAAAACCTAAAAGAGATAGTTTCAATAAGTTATAAAACGGTATTTTTGTGCTATTTTGAGCTGAAACTTCACATGCACACTCGTGAGATTTATTGTAAATCTTGTAAAAAGGGGCATAATAGACCCCCTTTTAAATGCCATATAATGCACAAGATGCAAAGATTCATATTAGCATAGAAAAGGAATGCAATGCAAAACAACACTTTCTGTTCAAGTCATTTGCAGGACTTACTCGTGGTTTTAATCATACGCTGTTGTTTGTGTTGTGATTGGTCAGTAGAGATGTGGGAGGTGCCGTTTGAGGAGATCTCGGAGCTGCAGTGGTTGGGAAGCGGAGCTCAGGGCGCTGTATTTCTTGGGAAGTTTCGCTCTGAAGAGGTCGCCATCAAGAAAGTCCGCGAGCAGAAGGAGACGGATATCAAACACCTCCGCAAACTCAAACACCCCAACATCATCAGCTTCAAGTAGGTCACAGTGTCTCTGCTCACTGCACACCACCCACAGGAGGAACAGAGCGTTGCAATACAGGCTCGGCTTTCAGTTCTGCCGCTGAATACACATCAAATGTTCTTCTTTTTTTATATTTAATTATGTTTATGAAATGTTCGCAATAGTACAGATATAACAATACATCTTTAAAAGACACACAAAGAAAAATAAAAGCAAAACAAGTAAGAAAAAATGTATTAAATATCTGATTAAATATAAAACAGGACAATCCCAAATAAAGCAGATTGTTTATTTTCCAGATGATATTAATATAGTTACAATATTCATTTTTTAATATGATGTAGGCAAAGACTTGGTGCCAAATAATCCAAATATGGAGTACAAACTTTGATAAAACATTCTGTTTTTTGTGTAATACATAGGTCAGATGTTCCAGGGGTTTTAACTCAATACTTATCTTGTTTCAGCCTTTAAGTGATGGAGATTGATCACTAATACAATTAGGTCAGATAGGTTGTCCAGACTGCAAAGGTTAATATATCATACAATTTCTTTTTAGCTGATGAAAAAAATGTGTCCATAAGGTATACCCAAACTCAATGAAACTGGGTAAAATCTTCTTATTTTCATATCACTACAATATTATGGACTGAAAGATCCGCTGTAAATGCTGCTCTCCGAGTGTAAACTTTCAAACTCATTAATTGAACTCTCACCATAGTGTAGGATTTTCACCGCATTTTGTGACAGGATAGTCTATACACACATGGCTTTATGATGCATTTTTTTTCCCCTCCCATTCACCGTGCACTAGGCTTGTACGATAATATGGTATACTGCCGGATCTAAAAAAAGCAACAGTGTCAGTTTCAATACCATCATAAAAAACAATGCACTTAAATAGGAGACAAGTATTAAATATTAAATATTATTTATTTAATGCCTACAAATGCGTATGCGTGATTGTCGTCACGGGACAGTGTGGAGGAGAGAGAGAGAGAGGGAGAGGTGAGGTGGCGAGTCGCGCACCAAGTGTCCTGCAGTTTGGCAGTATTTCCGAAGGGAGACGTGGTAAATACAAACTAGAGGTCTACAATTTTTTAATAAAGCGCAGGAGCGGTCGGTTACTCTGGTGTAATTTGAAAGGGAGCGTGGATGCTGTTTGTTTGTTTGTGTGTATGTGTTTGTGTGTGTTTGGCGTGTGCGTGGGAATGAGAGAAAGGGAGAGAGAGCATAGTGCTGTGCGTAGTGCTGTGCTGTGTCTCTCTCTCTCTCTCTCTCTCTCTCTCTCTCTCTCTCTCTCTCTCTCTCTCTCTCTCTCTCTCTCTCTCTCTCTCTGTGTGTGTCTCTGCGTGTTTGTGTGTGCTTGCGTGCGTGCATGCTCGCATGTGTGTGAACGAGAGGGTGTCCTGCGCAGATCTCCAATACGAACAAGACCAACAGGTGACTGCAAACCTAAGGTCACATATACGGTATTCAGTTTCTGAATGATTTAGGCACAAGCCAACAGTTTGGGAGGAGGGAGGGAGGATGTTTGACGGTATCAAAATTTGGATACTGCCCAAGCCTACCGTGCAGTATCAAACACTCCATTAAAACTGCGCTCTTCCAGCAGTTCCTGCATGCAATATCTTGTTTGTCACGGGGGGCATGCAGGAAATGTTCCGCAATGAAAGAGAAAGTGCCAAACTGCAGTTAAAGTCCAAAAATTAAGAATTTGGCAAATAATTTGACTACTGATGTCCATGTACACCACAGGTGTCAAACTCTGATCAAACTAATTGAGTCCTTCAGGCTTGTTTGAAACCTACAGGTAAGTGTGTTGGAGCAGGGTTGGAACTGAACTGTGCAGGGCTTCGGCCCTCCAGGAAGTGAGTTTGACACCCCTGATGTAAACGGTCACTGTCTTTCTCCTCTGCGTCTGTGTGTTTGTTTTGGCTCTGTGAAAATCAGCGCGTGCCCTAATGAAAACTCAATTTTTATGCAAATCCTTCTCTCTTTCCCTCCCCCGACACTCCCCCCTAAACAGAGCTGGACACGCCCACTTTCCTGACTTTTTTCAAACTAGAGGTGTGAAAACACCTTGCTGAGGCAGTGGGGTTTCATGGCCCTTTAAACAGAGCATTTTCACAGTATTCCCTATTTTAGTTTGGTTGGAATAAAAAATAAAAATATATAAAAACGTTAAGAACTGCTAAAGTCAATATTATTAGCTTCCTTAATTTTTCTTGATTATCTCCTGAACAAAACTAAAACCCAAAAACTGATATACTGTCATCATGGTAAAAACTAAAGAAATTAGTTTATTAATAAATTGCTTAGTAGTTTTAATAAGTAATTTAATTATTGTTTAAAATCTTCTCTTAAACATTAAAATCTTTTCTTAGGGTGCTTTTTATATCTGTAGTTCGCTTCATTTGGTCCGACCAAGGGTAATGGATGATGCATTATAGCATTTTCTGCCGTCTTTGGGTCGTTTTCACACCACACTGCTGGCTTTGGTTCGAACCAGTTGAAACAAACCAAAATGCAGTCATCTGACAAAATCCACATCTCTCATTGGCCAGATGTTGTTGAATATATTTCCTAAACTGCTTATTGATTGGTCAGAATTCACGTGCGGGAAAATGCCAATGAACTCCCGCAAGTAAACAAAACCGGCAGACACAAAATGGCGTTTTATACTCTGGAGGGACGACTGCGCTGACTGATTGTATTCCTGCTTTAGACAAACTATACATTTCGAGAATGAAGCGAAGCTGCGGTTGGAAAACAGTGTTTAATGCATTACACGTCACTTTCAGTAGGAGCCGTGATTTAATTTAGCTAAACTAATGACTGATGACATGGTCATCTTGCGGAAATATTACCAACGATCCATCAGGTAATGTTTTCCCCTCTCTCTGTTGGTAAAGCGCTGTCAACAAATATTTTTCCTCCATATCCCATAATGCACAGCGCATCGTCCTACGGCAGCTGGATTAGTCTAAAAGGCGCAGTACTTTTTGCGGTTGGACCTGTTTTAGTAAGAATCAAATTCTCACCACAAACGAATCGCTTCAGGGTTCGTTTGAAAGCTTACCGAGACCTGCTTGAAGAAGTGGTCTCAGTACGCTTTCAAACAAACCCTGAAGCGGTTCGTTTGTGGTGAGAATATTTTGTCTGCTTTTGGTGCGCACTCAAGTACGATTGCTGCATTCACACCTGTCCAAACGAACCGCACCAAAAGGAAAAACAAACTCTAGTGCGATTCAATCGAACTAAATAAGGCGGTGTGAAAGCACCCTTAAACATCACTTATAATATGTAAATAATTAAAGGGGACCTATGATGAAAATCATCTTTTGTAAGCTGTTTGGACAGAACTGTGTGTGGGTATAGTGCAGGGGTCACCAACATGGTGCCCATGGTGCCCGTCAGGATCACATGTGTTGCCCGCAGGCCTGTTCTAAAAATAGCTCACCATAGCGCCACTTACCAGTAAGCTTTATCTAATATACAAGTAATCATTTAAAAATGTAAATATTTGCAGAGATATATAAATATCATTAATTATTGATGAATATCATTAATTATTACCAAAAACATAAAGTATAATTAAAAGTAAATTGAGCAAATTTGTTATTTGAGAAGTGTTAATCAAACTGTTAGCCCTCCACGTTAATCGGTACCCAAGAAGTAGCTCTCTGTTTCATAAAGGTTGGTGACCCCTGGTATAGTGTCCATTTTTCAGGTTTCTTATTTTTAACACTTTTGCAACAATTTCAAAAACTCTTTCGTCACATAGACATTATGGGGGATTGTGTGTAGAATGTTGAGGAAATAAATGAATTTAGTCCATTTTGGAATAAGGCTGTAACATTAAAAAAGTGGAAAGTGAAGCGCTATCAATACTTTCCAGATGCACTGTAAAAATAAAAAGATCCTTGTAATCTTTAACCAAATTAACCTCCCCTCTTCAACATCATCTCTTATCTGAGGGATATTGGAAGGTGTGGTCAACCTGTCAATCACATGAGATCCACCAATAGCAGAACACATTCATCCAATCAGTTCTCCATGCACAAAATCAAGCCCCGCCCTCAAAATTACAGTAAAAGAAACCACCTTTTTTGTTTTCATGACCTTGACTATGCAGTGTGTTGTGTGTGTTGTTTTCAGGGGTGTGTGCACGCAGGCCCCGTGTTACTGCATCATTATGGAGTATTGTGCACAAGGGCAGCTGTATGAGGTTCTCAGGGCCGGCCGGAAGATCACACCCTGCCTGCTGGTTGACTGGGCTTCAGGAATCGCCAGCGGCATGAACTACCTGCACCTCCACAAGATCATCCACAGAGACCTCAAGTCACCAAAGTACGGGTGCTTTCATACCTATAGGTTGTTTGCAATCATGTGGCATGAAATTCAAGGGACAAATCTTTAAAATATGTCAGTGTCATTGTTTCTGCCTCAAGATGCACACTATTATTGTGTTTTTTAAGTCAGTTTTGATGCTTAAAACCCTTATTCCACCAAGGCCTATTCCTGGCACACATAACCTAAAAAGCAACTATTAACAATCTTTTTAATTATTAAAATGTGTACTATTATAAATGGCGTTGTTTTCTCTTGCAGTGTGCTAGTCACTCAAAATGACAGTGTGAAGATCTCGGACTTCGGCACATCTAAAGAGCTCAGTGATAAGAGCACCAAGATGTCGTTTGCGGGTACGGTGGCCTGGATGGCTCCTGAAGTCATCCGGAATGAGCCGGTGTCTGAGAAAGTAGACATCTGGTGAGTGTGGATTAATGCGGCGTCATTCAGTGAGATTTAAGTGTCTGGATTCCAGAATGCATTAGAATGTGTTGCTTTTATAAAAAAAAAAAAAATTCTTGAGCATTTTTACCATACATTATGGACAGCGGTGTAAAGTAACTTATCACAAATACTCAAATTACTTTAATTGAGTAGTTTTCCTCAAAAATTTTTATTTACTAAGTAGTTTTATAAATGTGTACTTTTACTCTTCCTTGAGTACATTTTTACTGCAGTATTGATAATTTTACTCCACTACTTTTAGAGTTAGAGCCGGGATTCAAATCATATATATTTTTTATATTTTATATATAATAAAAAATATTTTATTCTATTATATTTTATTATAATTTAATATATTATATTATATTATTTTATATTATTGTTACATTATATTATATTATATTATATTGTATTATATATTTTATTATATTATATTATATATTTTATTATATTATATGTTTTATCATATATTATATTGTATTGGATTATGTTTTATTATATTGTGTTATTTTGTTATATTTTATTATAGTATATTTTTGTATTACATTATATTGTTTTATTTTATTATATTATATTATAAAGGGCGTCACAGTTGCGCAGTAGGTAGTGCTGTCGCCTCACAGCAAGAAGGTCACTGGGTCGCTGGTTCGAACCTCGGCTCAGTTGGCGTTTCTGTGTGGAGTTTGCATGTTCTCCCTGCATTCGCGTGGGTTTCCTCCGGGTGCTCCGGTTTCCCCCACAGTCCAAAGACATGTCCGTAGTATATAAGTTTGTGTGTGTTTGTGTGTTTGTGTGTGTGTGTGTGTGTGTGTGTGTGTGTGGGTGGATGTTTCCCAGAGATGGGTTGCGGCTGGAAGGGCATCCGCTGCGTAAAAACTTGCTGGGTAAGTTGGCGGTTCATTCCGCTGTGGAGACCCCGGATTAATAAAGGGACTAAGCCGACAAGAGAATGAATTATATTATTATATTATATTAATTATATTATAATAACATATATATATATATATATATATATATATATATATATATATATATATATATATATATATATATATATAAAACATATGTTGTGCCTTCTATTATTTTCTATTATAAGCATTTTATTTAAAAAAATTATTTCAATTTAATATATATATAAAACTAAAACTAGATACAATTATAGTTATTTATTTATTTTAAACATATACAGATTTACTTAACAGCAAAGTGTTCATTTTGACAGCAAATTTTTATTAAGTTTTAGTCTTAGTCAAACTTGAATCTTCTATTTCTCTCAGCTGTTGCCATTTCAAAATAACTCCTATGGAAGATGATGCAATCGCATCTCGCATCTACTGTGGACCAGTTACTTTTTACATGTGTGTGTGTGTGTGTGTGTGCGTGTGCGCGCGTGTGTGTGTGCGTGCGCGCGTGTGTGTGTGTGCGCGCGCGTGTGTGTGTGTGTGCGCGTCATGCATAACACACCAAAATTAATTCTGATTGGATATTTACCAAAATACGTCCTTCAATCACATTATTGTCTGTTTTTTTATTAGTTGACAAAAATGTGTGTATAATTTTCTTATAGTTGTCATCATCATTACTTAATTATTATTTAGTTTTTGTCGGTAGAAACTTGTTCGTTACAAAAATATGACAAATTTTTCGTCAATGAAATAACACTGTAACAGCTCTCAAATGTTAGTGGGAAATAGGCGTTTTTAAAATTTAAGTAATGAAATTCCAGCATTGTGACAACACTAGGGGGCAGCATTTGTTTTCTCATTCACAATGGGAAACTAGAACTTCCGACGCACACATCCAAAGTGTAAACAAAGCAGCGTTCAGAGCCATTATCATTAATCACCACTCAAGAAATGTAGCGAAATTACAGCCGTTTTTTTTTTATTCTTTTTGGCTTGAATTTTTTACTTGCTATGCCACTTTAAAATGCCACTTGCGCTCTTTTTTTATTGCTGAATAACCAATCAGAGCACTCACTTCAGCTTGCACTGATTCAACACGCTGAATTGGGCCAATGAGATGACCTAAGCTTTAAATGTTTATTTGTGTGTGTGTGTGTGTGTGTGTGTGTGTGTTTGCAGGTCGTTTGGTGTGGTGTTATGGGAGCTGCTGACTGGTGAGATCCCCTATAAGGATGTAGACTCATCTGCTATTATCTGGGGTGTGGGCAGTAACAGTCTTCATCTACCTGTGCCGTCCACCTGTCCAGATGGCTTCAAGATCCTCATGAAGCAGACCTGGTGAGACTCCACATCTATACATTCGTCTGTGTTGTGATATCCACTAACTGACTAAAGTCTTGTCAAAGATCCCAGTTGTAAGAGCAACAAATAATAACTTGACTTCTAGTTGATCATTTGGAAAAGTGGCAGAAGGTCGATTTTTTTTCTGATGAATCATCTGTTAAACTGCATCCCAATCATCACAAACACTGCAGAAGACCTACTGGAACCAGCAAGAACCCAAGAGTCATAGGAATCAGTCAAGTTTGGTGAAGGAAAAATCATGGTTTGGGGTTACATTCAGTGCCAGAGATCTGCAGAGTGGATGATCAACATCAACAGCCTGAGGTATCAAGACATTTGTGCTGCCCATTACATTACAAACCACAGGAGAGGGCAAATTCTCCAGCAGGATAGCGCTCCTTCTCATACTTCAGCCTCCACATCAAAGCTCCTGAAAGCAAAGAAGGTCAAGCTGCTCCAGGGTTGGCCAGCCCAGTCACCAGACATGAACATAATTGAGCATGTCCTGGGTAAGATGAAGGCATTGAAGATGAATCCAAAGGATCTTGATGAACTCTGGGAGTCCTGCAGGAACGCTTTGTTTGCCATTCCAGATGACTTTATTAATCAGTGATGTGAGTCATGTCAGAGATGTATGGATGCAGTCCTCCAAGCTCATGATGGAGTCAGACACAATATTCATTCTGTCTTCTCTGCAGCAGGACTTTATATTCTATACTGGATATTAGAGCTGTTCAGTGACAAGACTTTTGTCTAGGCAGAGTCAGACCTTACTGTCCTAATTAAAAATTAATAATCAAGACATGATCATATTTTATTCTGGTCAAATAAGCATCATCTCAAGGTCTTTGCCTTTCACAAAAGACACTTCTGATACCAAATGATCAACTAGAAGTCAACTTATTATTTGCTGTTCCTAAAACTTGGATAGGGACAAGATTTTTCTCAGGTAGTGTATAATGAAAAAAAACATCATGTTATTGTTTATGGAATCAAGCTACAAATAAGTAATTATATTAGTTTTATATAATTAAAAAAGTAATAAATATAAGTAGTTATATACATGAGGTTCATTCATTTGGGATGAAACTTTTTTTTTAAAAATTTTGTTTTCCAATTCCCTACTTATGCCACAGCCACAGCCATGTCACCCTGCAGCCCAAGACCGGTTACTCACTGAAGCTAAGCAGGGCTGAGCCTGGTCAGTACCTGGATGGGAGACCACTAGGGAACACTAGGTTGCTGTTGGAAGTGGTGTTAGTGAGGTCAGCAGGGGGCGCTCAACTTGTGGTCTGTGTGAGTCCTAATGGCCCAGTAAAAGTAAAGGGGACACTACACTGTCAGTGGGCGCCGTCTTTCGGATGAGACGTTAAACCGAGGTCCTGACTCTCTGTGGTCATTAAAAATCCCATGGCACTTCTCGTGAAAGAGCAGGGGTGTAACCCCGGTGTGCTGGCCAAAGTCCCTCTATTGGCCCTTACGATCATGGCCTCTTAATCATCCCCTTCCACTGAATTGGCTCTATCACTGTCTCTCCACTCCACCAATAGCTGGTGTGTGGTGAGCGCACTGGCACCGTTGCCCTGTGGCTGCCGTCGCATCATCCAAGTGGATGCTTCACACTGGTGGTGGTGTGGAGAGACCCCCTCATGATTGTGAAGCGCTTTGGGTGTATTGCCATACACAATAAATGCGCTATATAAATACACATTACATTACATTATACTATGTCCTAAAAGTACTGTATGTTTGCAGCTCTGTTGTGAAAGAAAGTAATATGGCTTGTTTGTGATTAGTATTATTATATTTCCTGTAGGCAAGGCAAACCTAGAAACCGGCCGTCTTTCAGGCAGATCCTCCTGCATTTGGATATCGCCTCCGCTGATGTGCTTGGGACGCCACAGGAGACCTACTTCAAATGCCAGGTCAGAAAAACACATGAGATTCATCTGCAAACCACTCTTGAGTCGATTCAAAATTGCTTCCAAATCTTTCTTAAATTTCTGAGTTACTTGTTTTGTTGTTACAAAGCACCTAAAAGAGTTGAGGAACAGAACCATTAAGGAACTTTTGGAATTTTAGATTTTTAACTAATTTAGTGATCCCTTTAAATCAGTGTTTGGCTGCAGATTTGCACTTGCACCTCCAGGCTTGCACGCCCAGGCAACCGCGCTTCCTCTGCAAGTGACGTCATTTACAATCGCCACTCGTGTCCGCTTGCATGAAAGTCCTTCGGTAATTTAACTTTAGGGTGTCCCTGAGGCGGAAAAATCTCTGAGGTAACGGATTTCATTAAGATCGTTGCAACAAACTTCTTATCCGTCACCCTGACCAAAGAACATAGAATCACCAAGAGGCGACACTCTAGTGCAATTTGGGAAACACCCACTAGATGGCGCGGCGGCCATTTTGGAATGAAAACTCCAATAGAACAACAGCATATCATAAGTCTGTAAAATAAACTATTAAAAGTGCTGATGATTGTGATAATAAGGGTTGTATTGTCGTCTTTCAGGTTGTATCTCAGCTTTAATGCGCTTTTTAAATAAATAAATAAAAACAAAGCTGCTGCTCGCCATCGCAACAGCAAAAACATCCGATGGACAGCCGAGCACCCCAAAAATGGCTGAATCCAAGGTTGTTGCTGGGCGCTGCTGTTGCAATGGAACGTTCTATTGAGTGTCATTGAGGGTCTGTCAGGTTGTTCAACGCAATTAGGCTACTTAGAATTATTTCACAACGTCGACACTAGCACCATGAATGAACTGGAAATTTACTTTTTTGGATATTTGTGTTAATTCCAAGTGACGTGTCAATTGTAAATGACGTCACTTGCATAGGAAGCATGGGTGCCTGAGCGTGCAAGCCCGAGGCTGCGTCCGAAACCGCCTATTACTAAGTAGGTACTGCATTTGAATTTAAGCGTACTACTCGGCCGTTAGAAAAGTACGTACTATACAGTATGAACATGAAAAGTATGAATGGAATTCGGACGTACTACATCCGCCATTTTGTCATGGTCATGTGACCTACCTGCGTCAATTGCGTCGCTTTACTCCCATTCATGAATTTGCTTGCGGGGCATCATGGGATAGCGCAGCATGCATGGTATGCGCACTCAAGTATCTCACTGGAAGTAGTAAGTCATCCGGGTACTTCTAGCCTGCTGATTTTCGAATTCTATGAATTCGGACATACTACTCGGCTCGCATACTGATTTTACCGTACTATATAGTATGGAAGTATGACTTTTCGGATGCAGCCCGAGAGTGTATTCATAGAATTCGAAAATCAGTATGCGAGTAGTACCCGGATGACTTACCACTTCCCGCGAGATTCTGAAGTGTGCTGCGCTATCCCATGATGCCCCGCGAAAAAATTCATGAATGGGACTGAAGTGATGCAACTGACGCAGGTAGGTCACGTGACCATGACAAAATGTCGGATGTAGTACATCCGAATTCCATTCATACTTTTCACATTCATACTGTATAGAACGTACTTTTCTAACGGCCAAGTAGTACGTTTAAATTCAAATGCAGTACCTACTGAGTAGTAGGCGGTTCCGGACACAGCCCATGTCTATTTAACCGAACACACCTGATTCAGATCATCAGCTTATTAGCAGAGACTGAAAGAGCTGTAATGGGTGTGACAAAGGAGACATTCCAAAACATGCAGTGCTGGTGGTTCTCCAGGAACGTGGTTGAGAGACACTGCTTTAAATGATGGTCTATGGAGCTATGAGTAGGCTGCGCGTGCAGAAATCTGCAGATTTTTAGCCCATCATTGAGTCTGTTTTTTACTTGTGTAAATTTATATTTCATCATTTTTAAAAATATTTTCACTAATATTATTGTGATATAATAATGGCAATATTAAAATGTTCATATGATTTATTTACAATACAGTTTGTAAAGTCATATTTTCTGTCTTTTAGTAGAGATATCATATGAGAGACTCGCTTTGTTTATCAATTAAGTGGATCTAATTGGATTTGCATTGTAAGCATTAAATAAATGTTAAAATTGTATATAATTTTTTATTTCATATATTAAGTTTTTCGTTATGATACTCCTAAAATCATTCTGCATAAATCCGCTGGTTTTTGTAAAAAATTATCCGCATAAATATCAAAAAACGTCGGCAGATTCTGTCTGGCCCTAGCTATGAGCCACATTTTGACTTAACATTTGTTTTTATATTTCAGATTTTTTATTATTATTATTATTTTATTGTTTATTATATACATTTGTATTATTTATCTGGTGTATTTTTACTTTCTTTAATTTCACTATTAATTATTTAAATAACTATATTTTCAGTTAGTTGCAGTTGTAGGTTTTACATCTAATATTTACACTTTGCATTTTAGTTACTGAGCTTTTTTTAGCAGTTTGATTTTTATAATATCCACAATGTATTTAAAGTATATTACATAGTTATACTATTGCTCAAGCCCCTTTTTTGATTGAGTTCTGTTCTGTTTTGTTCTTTGGTTTTGATTTAAATTTATTCATTAAAAAAGGAAAACGTTGAAATGTCTGGTTAAACATTATTTTCGCCATCTCAGTCTCTAGTATAGATAAATAGCAGGTCGTATACAGTCACTGACTTGGGTTTGTTTTGTGATAATGGCCTATTGTTCTGCTTCTCAAACAACTTCTTGGCTAATGAATAATTAAATGAACAACAAAATAATAATCTGTGACAGACGGAGTGGCGAGAGGAGGTGAAGAAACATTTCGAGAAGATCAAGAGTGAAGGCACATGCATCCATCGGCTGGACGAGGAGCTGATCCGCCGCAGAAGAGACGAGCTCAGGTATATATTAACTTCAATTAATTCATTTAATATATTTATTATTGTATTTTTTTATTTAGTTTTTGTATATATTTTTGTTTTATGAATTCTTATGATTTTATTGAACTCATGCCTGTGGTTTATAAATAAACTTTGACAGTAAGAGCTCATGCTGTGTGTGTTTCTCACTGCCTCTGTGTGCTTCAGACACGCTCTGGACATCCGAGAGCACTATGAGAGGAAACTGGAGCGGGCCAATAATCTGTACATGGAGCTCAGCGCTATCATGCTACAGCTGGAGGTGCGCGAGAAAGAGCTGCTCAAGTGAGTTCCTCAAGCTTTTCAATTATTCATTGCAGTAAGTAGAGGTTTCGTGCTAAAAAATAAGGTGTGTTTTCAGTAAACGAACACAAGGGGCAATCATATTGCATCAGTTTTTCTTTATACATTTGAAGTCAGAATTATTAGCTCCCCTTTTAATTTTTTTTTCTTTTCTAAAAATTTCTCAAATGATGTTTAGCAGAGCAAGGGAATTTTCACAGTATGTCTGATAATATTTTTTCTTCTGGAGAAAGTCTTATTTGTTTTATTTCGGCTAAAATAAAAGCATTTTTAAAAAATTTTTAAACACCATTTTAAGGTCAATATTATTAGCCCCTTTAAGCTTTACTTTTTCCCGATAGTCTACAGAACAAACCATCATTATACAATAACTTTCCTAATTACCCTAACCTGCCTAGTTACCCTAATTAACCTAGTTAAGCCTTTAAATGTCAATTTCAGCTGTATACTAGTGTCTTGAAAAATATCTAGTCAAATATTATTTACTGTCATCATGGCAAAGATGAAGTAAATCAGTTATTAGAAATGAGTTATTAAAACTATTATGTTTGGAAATGTGTTGAAGAAATCTTCTCTCTGTTAAACAGAAATTGGGGAAAAAAATAAGCAGGGGGGCTAATAATTCTGACTTCAACTCTATATGCTCCAGTATAGCTCATAAATTCCAATGTTCACCTAAGGACATCTGACTAAATCCTGTTAAATCATAAAAATGTAAAAACCAAAAACAAACAAACAATCCAATAGAGGTGTGAACCTACACTGGTCTCACGGTTCGGTTACGATTATCATGCCATCGATTTGGTTCAATTCGATATCTCGGTGCATCACGGTGCATTGACGATGCTTTTCATACAGTTTTGTATTTTCTTCACAGCAGAAGTTCTTGTATTAAAATATTTGAATATATTTATATTTATATGCTATTTGTTATACAATTTTGTCATTTAATACAAACAGTCAGATATATAAACTGTACCTTTAAACAACACGAGCATTTAGCAAATAATATAAACAAATATAAATATCCAGCTCACTTTCTGATTCTTGTCTAGTTCTCTTACACCTCTTTGATTGGTCACACCCTCAACAAAACGGTTGCGATTAGCTCTTGCGCGCTGCACTCTTTAGATAAGTGACACTGATAGGCAACAGCTGTGATCACAGCAAAGTCAAAGCAAACACTCGAATAGACATCCTGCGGCGCGAATCTGCGAATGGCGTGGCGCGAATTAAACATTTGCGCGTTTGATGTGCTTAATGCGCATTTCGCGTGAATCACTCGAGTTCGAAAATCTGAACTTCAGCGGACATTCGCGCCGCGTTAACCAATCAGGAGCTTGCTCTTGTGGAGGCGTGATTGTGAAAGCCTCTGAAAGGATGTAGTAGACTCAGACACGGCCCTAAACGTATCGACGCTGTTTATCATCCTTCATAAAGCACATAAACACTGTTATTTTCTTCATAAAATCCATGTTAGCCCTTTAGCTATGAAGCTAGAGTCACGGGGCAGACAGAAGCTCTGCCCATCACGCGAATCCGCGTCTGTTCTGAAGTGAATTTGACACGCAAATGAAGCGGGTTTGATGCGCGAATGAAGCGAGTAACCTCAAATGTTCACGCGGCTACTTACGCACGAATAGCGCGATTTATCCGCGCGTTCCGCATCTGGTGTGAACAGCATTAGAGCGTTGTAAATACTCGCCTCCCTCGCGACAGAGTGCATATGAGGTAAATGACGTCAGTAATAACCGGTTATGATTATTACTGAACCGATACCGAATTGTCCGTGTCTGCATCGCGGTGCACTGAAGAAACGATTAATTTTGACACCCCTACAATCCAATGTAATATTCTAGTTATTATACTTCCAATATTGAAGTCTCTGTATTTAATAATTAATAATTGTTTCATCAGTTAAGTGGAAGAAATTAAATACAGCAAGAATCCAGTTTAATAATTGAGACATGCTGTCACACAATAAACAAAAAAAAAACAAGATACCATACTGCACTGAATTCTTTTTCACCCAGCCCAGGCTCGTGGGAAATGCATACCTCTGCCTACATTTTTGCTGAACGTAATATACATAGCTCCGGGAATGTGTCTGTGCACATTTCAGAAGACAAATCCACTAGAGGGCGCTTTCTGCATTTTTGCGAATCTGAAATGTGTTACTTGTGGTACGTTTTGTTGTACATTTCTGATTCGCCGTTCTTCTTGTACACGTCTAGAGGACAGCGGCACTTGTTGTACAGATCAGCGAACCACTGAGCTAAAGTCCTCTTTGATCCCAACCAATAGTGTTTTCAAAAGCAAAAGAGATAAAAAAGTGCACTGTGACCACATAGTTTTACCTTGATTTTACATTGCTTTTCTCTCTTTTGTGGAATCATGCTTCACTGGACTCAAACCTGAGCGCTCTGCAGCACAACAATGTAAAGTTTTAGCTACCTAGCAAACTGGCCACACCAGAAAATTTGTCCATTTGGGGATAGATAGGTGACAAAGATGTTTTCAATTACAAATCATAGACAGCGTTGTTATTTTAACAATACATACACTCTTAAAATGTATAGGTTATTTTAATCCAGTGTTGGGTTAAAACCAAAGACTGTAAAAGATATAGATGTAGTTTTCGTGAAGTCACCAATAGGTTTCTGAGGGGGCAAATGAAGCTACAAGTGGGCGTGGTCAGTCATCGCCATTTTGTTCACATGTCATTGCACCGACCAGGGCATACTAAAACAAGGGCAAAGATTCGGAGCTACAGACGCCTGCTAGCATTTTACTTAGACTGGCTTTTCTTTGGGATAAACGCTTAATACTTCATTACCTGCGACTCGAGAGCAAACTGATCACACCGGACAATTTGTCCATATGGAGATAGATAGGTGCCAAAAACATTTTCAATTACAAATCATAGACAATGTTAAGTTATTTTAACAATACATTCACTCTGAAAATGTATATTTTAATTCAACGTTGAGTCAAAACCATAGACTGTAGAAGATATGGACGTAGTATTCGTGACGTCACCCATAGGTTTCTGGGAAAAGCAAATGAAGCTACAAGTGGGCGTGACCAGTCGTCGCCATTTTGTTCACTCGTCATCACACCGACCAAGGCATACCAAAGAGGCGGAGCTACAGATGCCTGCTAGCATTTTACTTAGACGGGCTTTTCTTTGGGAGAAACACTTAATACTTTATTAAGTTAAGTTTTATTAAGCAAACTGACCGCACCAGAAAAGTTGTCCATATGGAGATAGATAGGTGACAAAAATGTTTTCAATTACAAATCATAGACAGCGTTAAGTTATTTGCGCTAATTATTGATTGTTGTGCAAGAACTACACGAAAATAATCCTTTATTCATTGATAATATGTCCCTGTACATATTATTAGCGTGAAATGGAACAAAAGTTGTCGTCATCATACTGCCCCCTAGTGTTTATTTACCTTAAAGCTCCCATTAAATGTATGTTAAACTACTTTTTTTGCGGTTTCACATAAAACGTAGGCTGAAGCACGTATTTTCAATGAGCCTGTTTTGTTTATAGTGAATGTACACTACAGATGAAGTGCGTATTGTATAGTAGTTATATTGTAATATGCAATTGTGAACATGCATGTTAATTTGTGTGTCTCTCTCTCTTCAATCTGTTTGTTTATTAGCATGAAATTGCAGTAATGAGTCTGAACTCTGACCTGTCAGTGCCTGAGTGCTGACATCTCCCTCAAACTCTCATTAAATCTAATCTGCTTTAAGCTTGTCTTGACTCTGCAGAATATTACTGACCCTTATTTTCTCTGAATTAGCACACAGTGATCATCCCGTCAGATCGTGCACACATCTGCATGTCTGCTTCAGTGGTTTGACAGTTTTACATGTGTTTTCTGCAGGAGGGAGCAGGCCGTGGAGAAGAAGTATCCGGGAACGTACAAACGCCACTTGGTTCGGCCCATTGTGCGACCCAATGCTGTTGAGAAGCTCATAAAGAAGAAAAGCAGCATGAACCACAAACCTGGGACGCAGCAGCCTAAGAGGTGAGATATCTGCAGGGTTCATGCAGTCATTTGAAAAACAGAAAAACCCACATGGTTTTGGATAAGTTATGGCAATTAGTTTAACGAATATCTGTATAGTTGAATATAGGTTAGTTGTCTTTAATTCTTTTCTGTCCTTGGCTAAAAACATTACTCTCACATTATTAGTGCAGTGTAAGCATTATCTAAATCAATTTTATATAGATATTAAAATAAGTTTAAACTAAATAGATTGTTGCGTGTAAATGCATGTAGACTGCATGCTGTAATAGATTTGAACATGCATGGTTTTACATAGATATTAAGGGCTCTATTTTGACGGTCCATGCGCAAAGCGCAAAACACAGGGTGCAAATGCTTTCAGGGCGTGTCAGGACGCGTTTTTGCTAATTTAAGGACAGGAACTCTGCCTTGCGCTTCGGCGAATGGTCTAAAAGGGTTGAGTTTATTTTCTTAATGAGTTATAGGTGTGTTTTAAGAATAAACCAATTACAGTCTCATCTTCCATTCCCTTTAAGAGTCAGCTGCGTCGCGCCATGGATAGGGAAACCTTTACGCACAGACATCAATTAGTAATTATAAATATATATATATATATATATATATATATATATATATATATATATATATATAAATAAATATAAATATATATATATATATATATATATAGTTAAATTCAGAATTATTAGCCCCCCTGTTTATTTTTTTTACACCAATTTCTGTTTAACGGAGAGAAGATTTTTTTTCAATCATTTCCGATCAAGTGATCGGATCTGGACATCCCTGCTAAATAGATTGTTGCGTGTTTTATGATATGCTGTATTAAATTTGAACATGCCCTGTTTTTATTATATTTATTTACCACATATATGTAGACATTACATAAAACATTAGGTTGTGACAATTTACTTTAAAGTCCTGAAAACGTTTTGTAGTAAAAATGTGTATGAACGCTGTATCCATGACAACACAAACCCGTGTGCTGTTTATTATATATTAACTTTTGTAAGGCAGGAATTACCAAGCAGGTTATTGACCCCTGGAGGATCATAAGGGAACTACAATTCTTTTTTTAGTACATAAACTTAACATTTTAGTAATGAATTTTAGAAAAGGTTAATAATGTTTCTGTACTGCATAATTGCAATGTTTAGTTAACATTAATAATAACTTAATAGCATAAAATGTAATGTTATTTTAAAATGTTTGTAGTTAATATATGAACAGTCAGAGGGCGTCATGGTGGCGCAGTGGGTAGCACGATCACCTTACAGCAAGAAGGTTGCTGGTTCAAGCCTCGGCTGGGTCAGTTGGCATTTCTGTGTGGAGTTTGCATGTTCTTCCCATGTTGGCGTGGGTTTCTTCTTGGTGCTGTGGTTTCCCCCACAGTCCAAACACATGCGCTACAGGGGAATTGGGTAGGCTAAATTGTAGGTAGTGTATGAGTGTGAATGAGTGTGTGGATGTTTTCCAGTGATGGGTTGCAGCTGGAAGGGCATTCGCTGCGTAAAACATATGCTGGATAAGTTGGGGGTTCATTCCGCTGTGGCGACCCCTGATTAATAAAGGGACTAAGCTGAAAAGAAAATGAATATAAACAGTCGGTCAAAATAAATAATATACAACAGTTTTAATAATAAAAAGCTAATAAATAATCATTTTAAAAGAATAGATCATTCTTTTGAGTATATAAAAAGCTTAGGATTTAGTAATAAATTCCAAAGGTTAATAACATGTTTATATTGCAAAAAATATAAAAAATTATTTAAAAATATTATAATGTTTAACATATTTTAATGTGATTTAAAAAGGTTTATTTATAATATATAAACATTCAAAATAGATGATAAAAAGAGTTTTTATAATAAAGAGCTAATAAATAATTAATAAATATATATATAAAATAGTATATAAAAAGCCAAGAATTATTAATAAATTCCAAAAGGGTTGATAATATTTTTATATTGAATAAATATTTTATTTTAAAGATAAAAAATATATATATATGAATAACCTATTTTAATGGGTTTTAAAATAGTTAAATACAATATATAAAAAGTAATTAAAAATAAAATTACATTTAATATTTTATATAATAATATAGAAAAGCTAATCAATGATTCATTAAATATAGTTCATTTGATTATTTTGTTTGTCTATTTATTATTTAAAAACAAGTAAAAAAATGGTAATTAGTATAAATTTTAGAATAAATTTTATAATTATATTAGAGAAGTGAATTTAAAAATGAAATATAATAATTCTAAATTAATCAAAATAAAGAAATGATGCATTGCAAATAATAAATAATGCAAATAAAGTAATAAGCTATGGCAAATATATATATATAATTTCATTATTATTATTATTATTATTTGTAGTATCATTATTATTTAAGACTATTAGAAAAAGGTTTTATATATTTTTTTTGTTACCTGTCACTTGACTATTAATATGCAAATAAGGAAAAAAAAGCCTTGTTGTGTTATACAAATTTCATTGACCTTTCCTTATTGTCATTTTGTTATTATGTTTTAAAAACAGAAACGGTTAACCTGAGCAATAAACTATAATTTTATCAACTCAAAATAATGACGCTTAATTAATTCTATAAGTATGCTCATTTTAGTTGATGTTAGTATAAAAGCACCTTATTATAAACAGCTACCACTTTCCCAAACTATTTAAAACATTTTCCAGGTGTATGGAAACATGGTTGAATAATTGGTATTTAAAGTCTGTGATACGGATCCGAAAGACACTGTATCCGTCATGAATTAATCATAAGCTCATTAACGGGTGAATGTGATCTTCTTCAGACCCGACCTGCTTCGCTCTGATGGGATTCCCAGCGTCGAGCCTCTTCCGGCCCCGTCTCCACTGTCTGGAAGCCCAAAAGTGTCCACGCCGCCTGGAAAGACCCGGTACCGCAGTAAACCACGCCACCGGAGGGCAAACAGCAAGGGAAGCCATAATGAATTCCCAGGTGTGCTGAAGCCTAATTCAGGCCCACCAGAGGAACAGCAGCCTCTCCAGGAGCAAAACTACCTTCAAAACCATCCTCTTCCTCCACCAGAACCTCCCCTCGCCAAGGTCAGTGCAGGAATCATTGACAGAGTATTTAATCTGTATCATTGTTTATGGAAGTGTTCTTTAGTTGAGCATTTTTGGGAGAAAGTTGTAAACTTTTTATCCATAGTATAACCGCAGAATATTCCCAAATGTCCAAAACTTTGTTTACTAAATATTTTTCCTGTCACAAGCTCTGTTATTAGCTCAAATAAGAAATTGTTGATTTTCTGTTTGTATGATAATATGATTAATAATATTATTAATAATACTATGAATTTGTATGATAATAAATAATAATTGTAATGCAAAATATGTATTAAAATGGCATTTGTAATAATAATAATAATAATAATAATAACTGAATGATCTAGTTATTTTTTAAAAATGGCTGATAATAATATTTAAACAACATTAACATAAAGAGTAAATAATAAAAAAATAAAATGAAAATAAAAGTAATCATACCTATAAAAAATAGCCATACCACTCTCCCAATTATTAAAAAATAATCATACAAATATGAAAGTCACAAAAAATTCTGATAAAATTTGTATGTGATAAATAATAATTTTAATGCAAAATGTGTTTTTTAAATGGCTTTCGTAATAATGGGAAAATAAATAAATAAATAATAATAATAAAGATAAACAAAAATAATCACGTTGTTTATATAAAATGGCTCATAATAATAATGATAATAATAAAAATTAAGCAATATTAACTTAAAAAGTAAATAATTGTAAAGTATATAAGGGGTTTTTGATAAGTAATCATACGAATCATACAAATATTTAAATAATATTATTGAAATGAAAACGGACAGTTTCCTTAATAATTAAATATTAATTCAATAAAATAAGAAATAAACTCAAGTAATAATTTAGTTGGAATAGTAGCAGTTATTATTTTTAAAGGTAATAAAAATAATTACTCATTTGTTTACTTGCATTAACAGTTTTAGCCGTGTCTGTTGTCTTAGTTTCTTGTTAACCATGAAATTATTTTATTAGTTAAATTTTTTTTCTACTAACATTATTAATAAAATATAATTATACAAATATGAAAGTAAAAATCAAGAAAGAATTCATATAAAATTTGTAGATATTAAATAATAATTTTAATGCAAAATGTGTATTAAAAATGGCTTTTGTAATACAAACAAACAAATAATAATAATAATAACAATGTTAGCATAAATTGTGAATGCTTTTAAAATATATAATGAATATTTGATAAGGAATCATATGAATAATGCAAATATTTAAAACAATAATATTGAAATAAAAACAGAGCTTCTGTAATAATTAAAGATTCATTTAATTAATTAATAAATAAACTCAAGTAATAATTTAGTAGGAATAGTAGCAATTATTATTTTTAAAAGTAATAAAAATAATTATTCATTTGCTTACATGCATTTACAGTTTTTTTTGTTTTGTTTTTTTTATCATGAAATTATTTTAGTAGTTAATAATTTTTTTTAACTACTACATTTTTTTTTTTTTTGTGTAACGTCCACACAATGTTAATCTCTAACATCAATCGACATTCATTTGGTTGATTTTAGGTTGGATGTTGGACATAGATGTCGTCGGCCTGACGTTGAGTTCTGACGTCAACTCAATTTTTGTTTTCAAACAAAATGATACTTCCCTACATTTACATTTAGTCATTTAGCAGACGCTTATATCCAAAGCGACTTACAAATGAGGACAAGGAAGCAATTTACACAACTATAAGAGCAACAATTTTTTTTCTGTAATACAGTTAACGGTAGAACCAGAGAGGTAATTGCAGATTAGGAAGTGAAGTGGAGACTAAATAGTTGAGTTTTTAGTAATTTCTTGAAAACAGCGAGTGACTCTGCCGTTCTGATGCAGCTAGGGAGTTCATTCCACCAACTGGGCAGATTGAATGTGAGAGTTCGGGAAGTGATCTCTTCCCTCTTTGGGATGAAACCACGAGGCGACGTTCATTCACAGAACGCAAATTTCTGGAGGGCACATAAATCTGCAGAAGTGAGAGCAGATAAGAAGGAGCAAAGCCAGAGGTCGCTTTGCAAGCAAACATCAGAGCTTTGAATTTGATGCGAGCAGCAACTGGCAGCCAGTGCAAACAGATGAGCAGCCGAGTGACATGTGCTCTTTTAGGTTCATTAAAGACCACTCGTGCTGCTGCGTTCTGAAGCAGCTGAAGAGGTTTGATTGAGTTAGCTGGAAGCCCGGCTAGTAGAGAGTTGCAATAGTCCAGTCTGGAGAGAACAAGAGCTTGAACAAGGAGTTGAGCTGCATGTTCAGATAGGAAGGGTCGGACATTTCTGATGCTATAAAGTGCGAATCTGCAAGATCGAGCAGTTCTAGAAATGTGGTCAGAGAAGTCCGGATGACTTTGGGGTACAACGTCAGTCTTACGTCATGTAGACATCTTGTGCCTGCTGGGTGTTTAAGGCCATTTCAGTCATCATACAGTAAACATCCGTCATCTTCTTGGACACTTTTAATGCTTCCAAACAGTTTGCTGCAATTATAAATCGCCCATGTCTTGAGGTAGTACATTATGATGTGATTTACCTTCTATGTGTGATTTGATTGGACAGGAATTACAGGACTGATTTTTCTAATCCCCATAGACAAGAAAAAATAAAGTCGTGACTGCAGGCTGAAGCAAAGTAGTAGAGTAAAAGTACAGATACTGCAGTAAACATGTACTCAAGGGAAAGTTAAACTAATTAGTAAGTTAGAATTCCTGTGAAAAACTACTCAATTACAATAGTTTGAGTGTTTATAATTAGTTACTTTACATTACTGGTAATAATTATATAAAATAATCAAAAAATATAAATAATAATTCATTTGTTTACCTCCATTAACAGTTTTTCCAGGATTTGTTGCAGTATTTTTTTGCTAATTCTGAAATTAAATGATTAGTTAATACAATTTTTTCAGGTTTTGTTTCTAAAAAATAACCTCACCACTCTCCAAACACAGACCCGAGAGAATGCGGTGGCCACCTGCGCCAACAACCTGCGCTACTTCGGCCCGGCCGCCGCCCTGCGCAGCCCCCAGACGGACCACCTTCAGCGCAGGCTCTCCGGTTCCAGCCCCGACCTCATCTCCACCGCAGTGGACGCAGACTCTCGCCTCCGCAGGTCTTCGATCCCACCGGGGCCCGCGCCGCTGTGTCCCTGCTGCCAGGCTCATCCGTTCCCTGGGTGCAAACACTGCCAGCAGACCCCGGCGGCCCCCAGTCACCCACAGCTCCCTCATTACTCTCTGCTGAGCACCAACGACGGGACACCCCCCGCCAGCAAGAGGAATCTGGAGCCCACGGCTGAGGGGCAGGACAAAGAGGAAAAGCCGGCTCTCCTGCACACGCTCAGACCTCTGAGAAAGGTACGGCACAAGCACATGGTTGAGATGTTGAGGAGAAATATCAGTTTCCATTAAAACTATTGTCTACTTTCTTAAAATGCACTGTTTTCACCAATCATGAAATTTGTGTGTGTGTGGTCAGACAGGAGATGAGTCGTCTGAGGAAGAGGAAGGTGAAGTGGACAGTGAGGTGGAGTTTCCACGCAGACAGAGGTCAGTCTTTTATCATCAATAAACAATGATTATAGATGAGCAATATCACATGAGTAGCAGTTCAGTTATGCCCCCCTCCAGTGACGATATACAGATACAACAGTTCGACGGCATAATAGTAGCATAAATATCATAGCATAAACCACGGCGAATGAAGCTCTGCACAAGACTTTTGGCCAGCGGAGAAATTAAAATGGTCGTGCCCAACTGAGTCTGGTTCTCTCAAGGTTTTTTTTCTTCACTCCCATCAGGTGAAGTTTTTTTTCCCTCTCCGCTGTCGCCACTGCCTCGCATGGTTCAGGATTAGTAGAACTACGCATCCATGAATTTGCTCTTCAGTGTTTGAACTCTCAGTAATGATTAAATCACACTGAACTGAGCTAAACTGAACTGAACTGAACTTAAACACTAAAACCTGAACCACACTGTTCCAGTTACTGAACCACACTGTTCCAGTTACTATGACCATTTATGTGAAGCTGCTTTGACACAATCTACATTGTAAAAGCGCTATACAAATAAAGCTGAATTGAATTGAATTGAATTGAATTGAATAGTGTATATAAAAAAGAATTGTAGGAGGAACTACTTTCTTCCACCGTTCATTCACATCTGCAGCTAATGTCAGTACAGCAGAAACCATTGCTACTTCACCAATGTCACTGTAGAGCACAGGTGGGCTAACTACGGCCCACGGGCCATATACGGCCCGCTAAACACTTTCATCCGTCCCGCGAGGGAGTTTTTAAAATGCTGCTTCTGAGGAACAGTTTGGTTTCAGAATTCGTAAATGAATGATGCAATACAAGTGAACGCCATTTGATGGCAGTATTGCACACGGTAAAGTTAGAGCAGAGTTTTTCAAAGTCTAAGGGTGCTTTCACACCTGTGAATCGATTCAGTTGTTCCGAAACAGAGATTACAAATGTTACATTGTTGCTCTTTGTTCTTAGAGCGGTTCGCTTACACACTGCAAAGTTTCTAATCGGATTAAAAGAGCTAAAACAAGTCACGTGCGAGTGAACTCTCCTCGCATTGGTCAGAGTGTCAGGGTTTATTTTGCAGCGTCCCGCTCAGCTGTCAGGAGAGGTGGTGGTTTGGTGGTGATTGACAGGGTGCGCGCGCGTGACGTGTCTAAGGAGAGACACGGTAGGGAGGGGTGAGAAGGGTGCGCGGCGATGCCTATTTGAGGACCTGGAGGGAGACGCGAGATAACCGGGAGATCATCACTCGTTTGCGGGCATCCGGAGACTCGCGAAACTTCCCGCCCTACTCATAATTCTCTCTTCATATAGCCGTAAGCCTATTACATATCCATAAAACACAGTGATACAAGCGCGCTCGGATCGGATCGCTTTCTCACTACAATCGAACCGCTCCAGGGTTCGTTTCAATCGAGCCGAGACCACCTCATTCAAGCGATCTCGGAGCGATTACTTTGGCGCGGAACAGAGTGCGATTGCCCTGTTCACATATGCCAAACGAACCGCGCTAACTGGGCAAACGAGACACGTTCCGAAACAAAAGTGTAGGTGTGAAAGCACCCTAAGACAGTGGGCCTCCCTTTTGACACAACTTATCCATTGGCGCCCCCTCCTCCCAAACACGCACGCACACACCCGCGCACACACAAACACACACACACACACACACAAAATTCTGGAGGTTTTTCTGCTACCTCATCATGCTTAATTTCAAGGTGTTGCCGAAGTTTAGCGGGTCTCATGCTGTCATTAGCCAAAATATTTTGACAAACCACACATAAAGGTCGTGGTTCATCAGCTGGTCCTGTCCACAAAATCCTAAATTCAAATACTGACCATCATATCGTCGTCTTTTGGGTTTAAGCCCTGAACTTGAAGGCTTTGAATCGGGGGGTCTCAGAAACCGATCCATTGTATTAGCAGCATGATTAGCAGGCATATACCTGTATTGGCGGGCTTGCCAAACAGAAGCGAATTCACAGCTATGGCCTTCTGGGTAAAAAAGGTTTTCTTATTTTTGATGTATTTTTAGCTTTGTTTAATTAAAACGTTTCAAAATAATAAAAAATACATATAATAATTAAACTTAATTATTATATTTTTATCATATAATATTTTTTCCCGCGCCTCCCCTGACATGCTCTGGCGCCCCCCTGGGGAGGCGCGCCTCACACTTTGAAAACCCCTGAGTTAGAGCAACCAGTAGAATTAGAAGACACTCTCGGATATTAAAATGCACTGAATGACTGAAAATGAGCCAGACAAAAAACTATTGACTCTGAATGTCTTGTGTTTAAGGAAGAATGAACAACAAAATGCTTCTTCTCCAATATCAGACAGAAAGCGCTGTGTCTAATATGCCAAGAAAGTATTGCTGTTTTTAAAGATTAAAACCTAAGGAACCGATCACACCGACAGCGCATTTACATTCCAAACACGCGAGGTGCACCGCACTGACAAGAAAAATAGGAGCGTGGTGCACTTTTTTAATGTCGTTAGTCAATAGCCCCTTTCACACAGTGATACCGGTAAATATCTGGAAAATTTCCGGAACGACTTTACCGGTATATTCAAAAAAGCGCTGTTCACACAGGCGAGGACGTTACGGAAATTTTCCAGAAAAGACCGTTCACACATCCATTCCAAAATACCGGTAAATTCTGACATCATTCACCACAAATGAGCTTTAAACGGCTGCGCTTGTATTTGTAAACATTTGACTAAATTACAAACTCTGTGGATGATCAGTATTGTGAACAACTTTCGCAGGATCACTTTCGCATGTCGAGATGTTCATAATATGTGCGTGTGCTGGCGCTAATAGGCTGTTTCACAGGCACACGCAAAGCTTGAAGGTAAACAAACAGCGGCTTATCATAAGCATCTCATCGATGATTATTTACACAGTTGGCATTAAGAAGAACATATAAACGTGATCTGACTAACTTCTAGCAGCTAAATGTGTCTGGAAAAATATTCAAAGGCTTTTATTCTCACAAACCGCGCGGACGTAAATGCGTCTGACTGTTGTGATTGGCTAAAACAGACGTCTCACGTCAGCACGTTCTAGACGTGCACGCGCTTATTACGGCAATCTTCCTTCTGCATTCACACAGCGCAGCATTCCGGCAAATTGCCGGTAATGTTACAACTTCTCTTTCCGGAAAATAGCCAGAACGAATTTACCGGTATTTTCAAAAAGGACCTGTTCACACATACAACCTTTCCGGAAAATTGCCGGCAATTTTCCGGAAAGGTCTGTATGTGTGAAAGGGGCTAATGACTGAATCAGCTGGGTATTTTGCGAGAGTGTTGCTGTTGATATTGATATCACTTTATTTTCAGGCTCATTGTTCACGTGAACACACTCATAATAACATGACTTGGAATAACAAACACTAAGATTCTTCTTCCGTTTTATCTCTTTATCTCTTTAGATTGATATGAGCATATTAATACAAGCTCAAATGAGATTGTTGTGAATTTGACTTAAAGTTTATATTAATTGCTGGTTAAATGTGTTCATTTTTGTCATAGAATATATTTTCCATGTATACATCCACTTTAAAAAGTTCTTTTATCAAAGATTTTATCAAGTTTTATGATGACTGATCTGTATATTCTAAAAGCAGTGCACATTAGATTATTGTAAATGTGGCTGAATAGTCATTTTTAACAATTATTTTTTATGTTCTAATATGAGATTTTTTTCTATCAGACAATATCTTTTCTATTATCCACTGTAAAAATATAACATTATTAATATTATTATTATTGTATTTTATCAGGGATTCTTTTATTGTTTAATGATGATTGACAGTTAAATATAAATAGCAGTGCAAATTTATTTGAATTGTACATTTGACTCAATAATAACTATTAAAAAAATTTCTGCCAACACAACACACATTCCTGATATGCGAGCAAATTGGTATAAATACAGCACTACAACATACAAAAGACAGAGATCGACTTAGAATATCACTCACCAGCATACCTGCCAATATGTCTCAGAAAATCTGGGAGACCAGGGGGAGGGGGGTGTTTGGAGGAGAGGTCTCTGAATAACACCGTTGAGAACCGGGATAGGATGCAGCGGGTTTTGGGCGGCCGATGCGATTGGGTACTCTACCAAAGTTGGCAACCCGGGGGTGTCTACAGACTGTACCAAAGAAATAAAAAAACGGGATAGTTGCGGGAAATTGTTCTAAAATACAGGATACTTCTAGTATAAAACAGGAATGTTGGCAGGTTAGCTTACCAGTTTAATAATGATTTGATCTGCTACAGTTAGAAATCATACTGTTAAATCTTTTAAGTGTAAGGGCTTATTGTGCGGTTCTGTCGCCATCTTGTGGATGGAAAACGCCAACCGTCTATGGTCTACTCTATGGCAGGCTAAAGGCCGTCGACAAGCTCTCTCAGAAATTGTATATATTTTAGAACAAGGCACTATTCTCATTAATAAACTGCATAGTTGCCATCTAAGCAACTACATTATCCACTAAAAAAGCATTAAAAATTCATGTTGTTGTCTAGCAGCAGTAATATTTGCCAAACTGTTGCGTCTCTCTGCTTATTGCTGGCTGTATGTGGGCGGAGTAATACACAAAGGGTAAAGAGGCTGTACGGGTGCTGATATTACTTAAATATCTCATGGCTATCAGCCAATCAGATTCAAGAACCAAACAGAACTGTTTTATATATATATATATATATATATATATATACAGGGCTCAAAATTGCAAAAGTTTTGGTTACATTTGCACCCGAAATTTTATCTGTGCAACCTCAAAATATATTTTTGGCTAGAATAAAAGCCAAATGACTTGCCTGCTTAACCATATACATATTAAGCTGTGAAGGTCATATCTAACGGTTGAATATTGTATTGAGTATTGCTGCATCCCTCGTAAAATCGTCAAAAATTGTTGCACCTGGCAACTTAAAAAAAAAATAATAATAACATGCTTGCAGTGAGAGAAACAAAACTAATACACTAAAAAAATTATAATAAAAAGTCAAGACTACAAATATTTTTGTTGCTTTAACTTATGTAACTTTTTTTTAGTTATACAAAGTTTAACTTAATGTTTTTAGTCAGTTTGATTGATGTAAGTTGAGATGACTGGACAAATAAATAAGATTCCACTAAAAACTTTTTTACAGTGCACAAAACCATGTTAAAAAGAAACTCGTTTTGACATGAGTGAATGATGTATTATTGTGTGTGTGCAGGCCTCACCGCTGCATGAGCAGCTTCCAGTCGTACTCCACCTTCAGCTCAGAGAATTTGTCAGTGTCTGACGGCGAAGAGGGGAACACCAGCGATCATTCCCACAGCGGGCCGCTGGAGCAGCTGAGCGGCAGCCAGGAGGAGCATCTGGACGAGCTGCTGTCACACACTCCAGAAATACCCATCGACATCTCCACGCAGTCCGACGGCCTGTCCGATAAAGAGTGCGCTGTCCGCCGCGTCAAGACCCAGATCTCACTGGGAAAACTGTGTGCTGACGAGCACAGCTATGAGGTCAGAAACACACACATACACACATTTATGACCATCCCTTCAGATCATGAAAACAAATCAGTCAGAGACAATAATGGACATTTGGAAGAAATACGTAATTAAAAATGTAACTCATCTAAAGTATTGTCTAAAAATCTGGTCAATTTGATTTGAATTCAGTGGTAATTAAATAAATGCAAAATGTGAAATATTTTTGTTTTAAGTACATGAGTTATAAATATACATAAACATAAAATAGTATTTAATTAATAACCTTAATAATTAATTAATTATTAATTAATAATTAATAACCTAAATAATAAAAATGGGTGACACGGTGGCTCAGTGGTTGGCACTGTTACCTCACAGCAAGAAGGTTGCTGGTTCGAGTTCCATCTGGGTCAGTTGGCATTTCTGTGTGGAGTTTGCATGTTCTCCTTGTGTTGGCGTGGATTTCCTCCGGGAGCTCCGGTTTCCCCCACGATCCAAACACATGCGCTATAGGGGAATTGAAAAATCTAAATTGGCCGTAGTTTATGAATGTGTGTGTGAGTTAGTGCATATGGGTGTTTCCCAGTGGATTGCAGTGGAAGGGCATCCGCTGTGTATGCTGGAATAGTTGGTGGTTCAATCTGCTGTGGCAACCCCTAATAAATAAGGGACTAAGCTATATATATATATATATATATATATATATATATATATGTATATATATGTATGTATGTATATATATGTATGTATGTATATATATATGTATGTGTGTATATATATATGTATGTATATATATATATATATATATATATATATATATATATATATATATATATATATATATATATATATATATATATATATATATATATATATATTAGGGGTGTAACGATACACTCAGCTCACAATACGATGTGTATCACGATATAATGTTCACGATTCGATATGTATCACGATATTTGGAATAAAAATTGAAAATTAAACTGAAATGCAAATTTTACCAAGTAAACTATTTTTTATATATTTCTTTTGTTTCAACTTGTTAAACTGAACCTTCTTTAAGAAAATAAATTAAACAGGCCTGTCTCTGGAAAATAAAACAATTTAAAAACTTCTTAAAAATATTATTGAAATGACAGAGACAAAATTAAGGAACAATTTAAGTAAAGTAAAAAAACTATTCAATTGAATTTAACAGTAAGAGCTTAAGGCTTCGCTTGGTCACTTGCGTTTTTGTGTGTGCAAAAAAAAATCCACATTTCCAGGTATTTAATTCATATTTAATTAAATTCATTTAGAGATATCTCTAATTACAATTGTGACTAGTCAAAACTCATTTAGAGATATCTGCAAATATTTTTCAATGGAAGTCAATGGAGGAATATGACTAGTCATAATATATTTGCAGATATCTCCAATCTGATTTCGTACTAATACAATTGTAATTGCAGATATCTCTAATTGTCATGCTGACTAGTCGAATTATAATTATGACTAGTCAAAATATAATTAGAGATATCTCTAAATATATTTATGGTTAGTCAGAACAAAGGTTTAAATGCTAAAACGGCTTGCCATACGCGCGCGTCTATCAGTCCGCCCTTTGTAGTAACAGCTCACGGTCAGCTCACGTCATGTGTGATTTTGCGGCCGCCAATACATCATTATATGAAGACAGAATGATATTTTAGGGTGAATTGTACCTTATAAATACAGTATGTGACTCTTTCAACACCATTAGAAGGTATCCCTGTCGCTGTGCAAAGTATGTAAATCACTGTGAAGACTTTAAAACTTAGGATGTTTGACCCAGTATGCGTGTCAAAAAGCGGACGAGTCTAAAGCAATGACTGTACAACCGAAATGTTGCCAGACGTCTGATTTTGAGAGGATGGGCCATCCTCTATTTCAGCTCCACTCATCTTGGTCTGCTAACATTACTGCTGCTGCAATCTGAACTCACGTGCGACAGCAGGTGGAACGTAGCTCACGTGCAAACAGCTCAACTAATAAGAGAAAACGGACGTCATATCGTAATCAAATCGTCATAACGCCACGATGCATATTGTGACATTTTTGTATCGCAATAAATCATACAACGATAAATCGTTACACCCCTAATATATTTATATATATATATATATATATATATATATATATATATATATATATATATATATATATATATATAAACATTTATTCATTCATTTTCTTTTTGGCTCAGTCCCTTTATTAATCCGGGGTGGCCACAGCAGAATAAACCGCCAACTTATCTAGCACGTTTTTATGCAGCGGATGCCCTTCCAGCAGCAACCCATCTCTGGGAAACATCCACACACACACTCATACACTACGGACAATTTAGCCAACCCAATTCACCTGTTCCGCATGTGTTTGGACTGTGGGGGAAACCGGAGCACCCGGAGGAAACGCACGCGAACGCAGAGACAACATGCAAACTCACCAGCGACCTTCTTGCTGTGAGGCGACAGCACTACCTACTGCGCCACTGCGTGTCCATATATATATTTTATGAATATTTACATATTTTCAAATTTTAGCTATGGAACTATATATATATATATATATATATATATATATATATATATATAGTTCCATAGCTAAAATTTGAAAATATGTAAATATTCATAAAATAAAACAATTGAGTTATTAAGTTTTGATATAAATTCTGAAATTTTAAAGTAAAAATCTTTAATATTAAAATAATTTTTTGATGAACTTGTGAATATCCAGATATTATACTGAAAAGAAAGATTAGCAGTGTATTTGATTAGAATGCAATTTGGTTAAAAATGTAAATACATATTTGTGTTAAATTAAATAATCGCTGAAACAATTCAATTAAATTATTTTAAATAAAATACGCTTAAAAAAATTAGATTATGCTTCATTGGAATTCAAATTTAAATAAAATACATTATTTCAAATAATATATATTTTTATTAAAATTTGTATTAAGTTAATTTTATTAAATGAATAAATCATCAAATATATCATAATTTTAAAATAGAAAAAAATGAGGATAAAACATCGTCCAGTCCAGTCTGACCAATCTACCGCTGGATGGCGTCTCACTATAGTTGTTAAACGTGATATTTAATTCATCTTGTCTGCACCACACTAGCCACGATTGATGAAATTGTTTTGCGTTTAACTCTTCAGTCTTTTGAATCTCTCAGGTAACGTGTCACAGCGTCAGTACTCTGCTTTAGTCTTTTGCTTTCACACTTGTCCTTAGTCATTTTAGTGTAAACCTCAGATACTGTTGGTTGGTTGCTGTTGGTTGTGCACCTTTTTTTACATACCAAATTTGTGGACGCCATTATAACAACACAGATCACTCTGCCTATTCATGCCAGAGCCCTGCTGAAAAAGTGTTTGACAGGTGGTCATTTGTGTGTAACTTATCTGTATTTATGATTTGGTTATGGTTAAAACAAAGATCATGTGGGTCAGCTAGTTGAAACGGTAGGCTACAAATAATTAATTAGTTATGAATTAATTCATTATTCATAAATAAATAATTCACAGCCGCCTACGGCGACGATGCCATGGTTCATCGCGATGTTTCACATATTACAATGCCAAATTGGTCGACATCGCCCAATATTAATACTTTATTTTTAATATATTTAAAAGTGGAAATAAATACAATAACTACCAAAAATATACAAATAAAATGCTAATTAAATAATTGTAAAATAAAATATTTGCAGTCATAATAAAATGTTTTATATGAGGTTAATATTTATTAATTTGTTAAATTAAAATGTACACATCATTTTATACAGATTTTATTTATTTATTTATTTTAAGTGTTATATTTCTTATTGTATTTTTTTTAATGTTGTATTTTTGACCTTCATGCCAAGTGACCATTAAATGAACCATTACAAGAAAACCATGCAAGGTGCATGCAAGAAACATTACTGTCATTAAAGTCGAATCTAAAACATCTAAACTGTGTGTTCCTCTGTCTGTCAGAATCCTCTGCATTTCGGAGACTCAGACTGCGACACGTCGGATGCGGAGTGTTCAGACGCCACCATCAGGAACAAGCCGCCCGGCGCTCCGTCATCCTGGTGAAAAACACACCGCAATAATCCCACTACCCATAATGCACCTCTCTGAGCATCTCAGGCAGACTCCAATGAAGAGATGATGATGAAGAAGATGATGATGATGTAGCTCAAATGAAACGCCGCTTTTATTTTATTATTACGAGCTGGAGGAACACCAAACCAACAAACAAACTAATGGAGTATTAGCGCTCAAGTGTTCAAGACAAAACAAGGCAACTCAAAACCACAGACCATTCGTTATTTAGTAAGCTAGTTAGTTGGTTAGATAGTTAGTTACACTACTGGTAACGAGTGGGATCAGGCCATTTTCTTTGTTTTGTTGTTTAGAAGAAGTGGTTTTGCTCGCCAAGGCTGCAATTATTTGATTATATTTGATCATATTTACATTTCAAGTGACAAATTCAGGTGTACATATCATTGATTTTTGGGTGACACGGTGACTCAGTTGTTTGCACTGTCACCTCACAGCATGAAGGTCGCTGGATCAAGCCCCGGCTGGGTCAATTAGCATTTCTGTGTGGAGTTTGAATGTTCTCCCCGTGTTGGCATGGGCAGTGTTGCCAGATTGGGTGGTTTCCCGCCCAATTTTGCGGTTTTGAACACAATTGTGCGGGTATAAAAGACATAGGCGGGTATAAAAAATTTGGGCGGTTCTGCGGAAAGCCCACCCTCCCCGCCAACGTGTTCTCGAGACCGTCACAAACCCCCACCCACTTTTCGTGATTTTCGCGACCGTGACAACCCTCCCTACTTTTTGGGCTGGAATCAGTCAGCAACATCTGGCAACACTGGGCAGTGGGTTTCCTCCAGGTGCTCCGGTTTCCCCCACAGTCCAAACACATGCTATTGGGGAATTGGATTAACTAAATTGGCCGTAGTGTACGAATGTGAATGAGTGTGTATGAATGTTTCCTAGTGTTGGGTTCCAGCTAGAAGGGCATCTGCTGCATAAAACATATGCTAGAACAGTTGGCGGTTCATTTTGGCGCTTGTATCTTGTTCTTTCAGTCATGACCCAAAGCTCATGACTATATGAGTTTTAACATTGCTAAAAATTCAGCATTGAATCAATTAAATAAATTAAAAGTTTAAACCACATTCAATAAACGACGAGCAATTCAAATATTAAAAATATTAAACTATTTTTACAAATTTTTCTAGATTTTTAATCAAACAAATGCAGTCCTGGTGAGCAGAATCATCTTCATTTCTTAAAAAAAAAAACATGAAAAGGCATATTACTCACAAGCTTTTGACCAGTACTGTAGTTAGTAATGTAGGTTAAGCTGATCTGCAGGAATGTGTGTATATACAGTATGTCCGTCGGTGTGTGAAGGACAGTGTTACGTTTGTGTGTGTGTGTGTGTGTGTGTAGTTTGAGGAAATTTACCGCTACTTCCTGAGTTTACAGAAACGACTCTTCAGTTTGAGCACCAGCAGGAACGATGTCCTTTTTTTGTTGTTTCGTTTGCCCTTTTTGACTTCCAGTATCCGTGTGGAAAATATCCCAGCATGCCTGCTTGGTGGGCGTTTCGATCAGCCAATCAGAGCTGCTGCTGCTGCTTGTTGCTGCTCGCCTCGACAGGAAGTCACATGACGAGGATCAAATCAGTGTTGAAGTGAAGCGGAGCGGCTTTTCTCATCTCAGGACTGTTTGAGGAGCGAGTGGAAAAGATGAGCTGCTTTTCTTCCGCCATCTTTATCTTGAGGTGAAAAACATAATAATAATAATAATGACCATGTTGACTTTATTTTATTTTTTCCGGAGATGCAGCGTCTCTTCAGATTGAGTTTGAGGGATCGTTTAGTCTAAAACAATAGAAATAAATCAATCAAATGCTACCGAGTCATTGCAAATCTGTTCCAACTGGAAAGTAACACGTCAAGCTTAAAATACAAAGACAAACATACTCATTTAAATAATAGTTTCTTAAATTAAAACGTTAAAAGATAATTAGGATTAATTATTGGGAGTTCAGAGTGCACTCACACTAGGCTATGCGATCGTTTTTATTTTTTAATAAACGCGAACTGTCATAGTTTATTAAAGATACAAACCCCTCGCTGCACGTCAGCTGATGCCTTCAGCAAACCTCCTGATACATGCAGCACGAGGACTTACATGATCATTTGTGAGCGTCACAAGTGGTGGATGTGTTCAGCAAAATACTTTACTGCATGCCAGTGCATCCCATACGACTTCAAATAATAGACAAACAATATAATCTCCACTGTGCTGAGCGAGAGCCCTTCTCTTGCTGTTAAACTGAACATTCGCATCATCGATGACGTAAGCGTGCTTCGGCTCGGGAGGTAAAATACAGTGTGAGGGAGGACAACCGCGCTTCGGCACAGTTGAAGGCAACTGTACCTAGTGTGAGTGCACCCTAAGAGTGTTTATTTTGTTTTTATTTTACACAGACAGTATGTTTTTATTTTTAAAAAATTATATTTTTACAATAAAACAATGTACTGTCATTGTAGATCTGCTGCGAACCTAAAATTAAAACGTCCAGCTCAAAATAAACACTTCCTAAAATGAAAATAAAATGTTTGCTAAAGAAAATAATAAATAATTGAAATTAAAATCAGTCTTTTTATATTAAATATGTTATTTAAAATAAAATGTGTCATTTTAAAATTAAAAAGTGCTACGAAGTTAAAAATAATATGTCCAGCTCAAAATAATATACTTCCTAATATGAAACTGAAAATAAAATGTTTGCTAAAGAAAATAATCAGTAATTGGAATTAAAATGGGTGTTTTATTTTGAGTGAAATTTTATTTTGGATTGTTTATTTTAAACCGACAGCATGTTTTTATTTAAAGCAAAATTAAAATACGTCATTTTGAAATAAAAAAAAATAAAAAACTGTAATTGTAAATGTGCTACAGACTTAAAAGTAACATGTTAAGCTTAAAATACAAACACAAACATACAAATTAAAATAATAGTTGTTATAGATTAAAGTGTTAAAAGAAAATGTGCATTAAATATTGGGAATTATGAGTGTTTTGTTTTTATGTTAAACAGACAGTGTGTTTTTATTTTAAGAATTAAATGAACATACATAACTTTACAATAAAAACAATTTAAATCTGTTACAAAGTTAAAAGCAAAATATCCAGCTCAAAATAACACACTTTCTAAAACGAAAATTTAATGTTTGCTAAATTAATTAATAAATATTTGTAATTAAAATTAGTGTTTTATATTAAATGTTTTTTTTAATACATTAACATAGAAATGTGTCATTTTAAAATTGAAAAAGTGCTATGAAGGTAAACGTTAAATGTCCAGCTCAAAATAACACACTTTTTAAAGTTAAATGTTTGCTAAAAAGTAATAAATAATTGGAATAAAGACGAGTGTTTTATTTAGTTTTTATTTTAAA